AGCTACATGGAAGATCTCCGCCAAGTTCATATTATATCTTCAAAGGAAAGATGTAGATACTCAAATAATACTAGTATAAAGACCAAAAATTATTTGTATGGTAATGAAACAATGCTTAAACATCTAAAAGTATTTGTATGATAATTCATAAAAAAGTATTTCATATGTTTTGTTCAATGTCCAAACCCATGCATTAAGTTTTTATTTTTGTGTTCTGGATGTCCGCTTCTTATAAAGAGAAAAAAGATCGAATAAACACTTCTGTATTTATGAAGTATTAGTAAATCCCCGAACTAATCAAAACGTCATTAAAGTGCATTTGCTTTTAAAATTTGGGTAAAATCTATGTGTAATCGTTGTTTTGTGTGTAATTGGCTTTGTTTAATGTTACTATGTTAGTATCCTAAAAATTGATAAGGTACGAACAAGTTTAAATACAATAATTGAACTGTTTACAAGTGTTCACTTTTTTTTATTAAGTCAAAGTCATGTATTAACTACAAAATAAATCTTGAATTTGAAAAGTTTTTTGTTTTTGTTTTTTTACTCCAGGGGGTCTGGGGGAGCCTAGAGTAATAGGGGATGAAACTCACTCCATTGAGTTTCGACCCCTTATGGGCCTAGCGGGTTTCGAACTCGAAACCTCTCACTAGGCATGGTAACCTCGCAACCAGCTGGGCTGGAATACTTGAATTTGAAAAGTATATTCGTTAAAATAGTCCACCAAACCTATCATAACATTATTTTTCCGGCACTATAGAGAATCCTTTTGTTCGTGTAACTGTTTTTGGCGGTGTGGTCTTAGGCTAGCACTCACATAAAATATTGATACTCCGTATAATAATTCATTTAGTAAGTGAGTTACTACAGGTCAAAAACAATCTCTCAATGCTTTGGTATAGTGGTAAGACTGTGTACATCTAACCTCCCTTATCGTAGGTGGGAGCCTTTGCGGCACTGGGGTGATGATGATGATGATCACAATTTTTTATGAAATCTATTTTAAAAGTTTTATTACAAAACACAAATAATTGTAATTCAAACATTTCTGTATCAGGGGAACAGATTATCAAGCAAGATGGTGGTGGTAAGATGTTTTCACGGCAAGTCATCCACGCATATATTGTGTCGTTATAAAAGATATAAATGATACTAAATTTGTAATGTAAAGACAATTTTTATTTCATTTTCCTTTCATTTAGAGAAAGTGCAATTTCTCTAAAGAGGAATCAATCAATCATCATTTACCCCAGTGCCGCAAAGGCTCCCACCTATGGTGGGGTAAGGGGGGGTCGGATGTACGCAGTCTTACCCCTGTACTAAATAAAGCGCAGAGAGACTGTTTCCGTATGACCCGTAATGAAAATCGCGTCCAAAAATTGCATTGACTGACTGCTGCTTCATAACAATGAAGTTAAATAATTTTGGGGTTGAATTTTGTATTGGTGAATTTAGATAAAAAAAAAATGAAAGATGTAAAAATGTTTTTTGACCATAGTAACTATGTTTAACATGTCACATTTTCATAAACACTTTATTTTAATCGCATTTATGTAATCATTTATGGGTCATCCGGAAACAGTCTCTCTGTGCTTTATTTAGTACAGGGGTAAGAATGTGTACATCCGACCCCCCTTACCCCACCGTAGGTGGGAGCCTTTGCGGCACTGGGGTAAATGAAAATGATGAAAATGATGATTTATGTAATCATTTAAAAAAGTTATATACATATATACCTAAAAAACATTATATGTATAAATACTTATTTAAATATTTTCTCATAAATTTATATTTAAGTATAGTTTAGGAAAGACATAACACATTTTCACATATATGCACACCCCATGATTTGTCAGGTTACATCAGCAATTCGTCTAAATAATGCAATTCGTATAGATAAGGCATAACACATTTTCACATATCCGCACACCCCCCTGATTTGCCAGGTTACATCAACAATTCGTCTAAATAATGTCGTCTAAATAATGCAATTCGTATAGATGAGACATAACACATTTTCACATATCTGCACACCCCCCTGATTTGCCAGGTTACATCAGCAATTCGTCTAAATAATGCAATTCGTATAGATAAAGACATAACACATTTTCACATATCTGCACATCCCCCTGATTTGCCAGGTTACATCAGCAATTCGTCTAAATAATGCAATTCGTATAAATAAAGACATAACACATTTTCACATATCTGCACACCCCTCTGATTTGCCAGGTTACATCAGCAATTCATCTAAATAATGCAATTCGTATAGATGTAATGTCACCATATTATTTAGTAATTATAACAATTTATACCTCCAGTTAATAATGTATAGACCTTTGATTTGAAAATGAAAATAATCTTTGCCAAAAATATACTTGAATGAAGGATTTTAATAAGGGAAAATTTTCGAATATGAGCAAATAATTTTGAGAATTCCAAAATAAGGTAGTCATGTTTTTTATTGCCAAAATTGGCGTAATTATTGTCAAGCTTGAAAAATATTGTCATGCTTAAGGTCCAATTTTGGAATACATAAAACTTATTTTGTTCTATTTAGTGTAATTTCCCTTTTAACAAGGGTTAATGCTAGACAGAAGGTACAAAGAAGTGTTTCATAAAATTTGCCATGAAATGTAATTTGTTTTCAAATGATGTTTATATTGCGTGTTACTTACTATTTTGTGGGCTATAAAAAATAATGTACTACTCTGTAATCATTAGTAAATTGTATTTTATATGTTTCATTTACGTCAAGTTTTATTATTGTATGAAGTATAATTCTAAACAATTCAATTAAAATTACAAGTTTGTTAAGTTTAATTTTTAATAAATCTTGGCTAATGTTAATTATACCCGTGAAATTTCACCAATCGTGCGTCGCACAGGTATTGATGAAGAAGGAACCACTAAACAAGACTCAGAATGCTGTATTCAAAAAGTGTTCAACAATGTTTAGGGTTACATGAAATGTATATTTACAATGTTATGGTTTATAAATATTTGTTGGATGTTTTTGATCTTTTAAGTAATGCTTAGTGCTCTCTTTTTAACTATAATATATATTATAAGTGTATTTTGTTTATTGCTTGAAGTTATATCAATATTCCATGAAGATAGATGCTCATGCTCTTATCAATTGATAGTGTAATTTGAATAAGTGAGCACAAATAAATTTGAAGGAAAATTCTTTTGCATCGCACGGGTGAGTTTACTAGTTTGTTCAAAAAAGAATCGATCTTGTCTTATTTGGCCATTTGGATTTTGAGAGGAACTTGAAGTCTTGAACTGATTCAGAGCCCGTTTGGTACTTTGGTAGCACGAAAATCGGCTGTTTTGGCTGTTTCTGCTGAAATTTATGAAGTTCTGACTGAAGTGGCTGTTTTGGTTGATTTTGCTGATTCTAGAAAAAAATATTTTAAAAATATATTTTATTAATAAAATAAAGAAAAAGTTACATGTAAAAATAGCTAAAATGGTTATCTACAATAACTTCAGCCAATACAGCCAGAAAAGTAACTTCAACCTTACTTTTTCTGCTTATTACACAATTCAGCACGCGAAAGTAAAAATTACGTGTTTGGTGAAAAAGCTGGCTGATAAGCCTGATAAGCCGAAAAAGGGGTCTCCAAACGGGCTCTCAGAGTTTCAAACCAGCTTCTGAAAGACAGGTAAGGTTTATGGGGAAAGCAAAGACTTGTTTTAGTTCAACAACCGATACTGGGTCCACCCCTAGGCCCTAGCCCACTGGGACCTTGTCCAGTTGTTCCTAGCATTGCTAAACACGAGTGAACATTATTTTCATAGTAATATGCATTTGACCCCAGCCACTTGGTCTAAGGTCATCCACATCAGTGGCGGACCCAGAAAAATAGAGCGACGGGGTCCCTATCTTAACGTAGTTCTAATTAATAAAAAATTTATAAAAAATATGTAAAATATTAAAGAAGCCTAACGTTTCATACTTAACGTTCATCATCAAAACATTAAGATAGTATAAAGTAAAAAATTGCAAATAAAAGTCATTCTACAATTCCACCGGCCGTTGATCGCATATCTTATTTTGCAACTCATTCTTCACGGACTTCATACCTAAAAACATGCATTCAACACTTATTGTAGGCTACAATGAGAAGTAGAAATAACTTATTAAGCTTATACACATGTTGATATGTGAGATACTTCTTCATGGACACCATTACAATCAAGAATTGACTTCCAAAAATTCAAAAACAACATATTGTTATGTAAATTATAAGTCAAATTAGTTTCACTATCAACAATTATTTGATCCAATTCTTCATTTACTAATGGCGAGTAATTTGAATTAATATCTGAACTACTTTCGGTACTCCCAATTTCTGAATTATCAAAATATATTTTTACCCTAAAACGTAAAAATATTGAAAAAAACATTCATAAATGCATAGATTTATTAATTTAATCTTAACATTCAAAGAAATTTTGATAATTAATCCAAAAAATAAATAAATTATGCAAAGGGTAAATAAAACCCGGGCGTGCGTGACTTTGGCTAGTTGAATTGGGTCATGGGGTTTTAAAAAGGGGTCAAAACGATATAGTTTTTGTGTTTTAGAAGAGTAAGTGCAGAATAACAAAAATTAGGGCCGCAAGGAATTGAACCCTTGACCTCTGAGTAAGGAAACACTTAAAATCCGCGTGTGCTACCGCTCCACTGCTCCAAAGTCCAACCTCATAGTTCTCATGGAGCTTTTGGTGTATATATACCGTGATTAATTAATTTTATGAAAAATATATATATAATATATATAGGTATTTTTTTAAAGTCCACGGGGTCCCGGGACCCCATGGGACCCTTAGTGGGTCCGCCATTGATCCACATCTACCGCCTGGATTCTAAAATCAATTCCATCAAAAGCACACACATCTACTCAATCGTTTTAGTTCAGTTTTGAGATCAAACTTTACTTCATGACAAACAGGCAACCACACACACATGAAGTTTTGTATGGAGCAACAGAAGGGGATATAATAATACCGACGAGGCGACGAGACCATTAAATCAAGATTGTGAATTTGTGAAAGCAGAAAAAATTCTGGAAACACGAGTTCGAAGTCATTACATAATCCACCAAGATGAATTTGGTAAGTAACATTTTAAGGAGTAAAAAAGGCTAATGGTGCCATCAAACATCTAGGAAATCACAAAGCTATATAAAAAATAATATTTCTTGCAATGGGGTACAAAGTATGTACAAACAAAAAAACTAGAAGAGAATAAGTGGGTGCCCATCAGACTTGGCTGCTGATTTACAAATTGGGCATGCATTTTTCTTCAGTAGCCATTCCTTGATGCAATTTATGTGGTAGAAGTGTCCACATTTGAGTGTCCCCATCTCGTCATGAGCTTCGTATTCCTCCTAATTGGAGGTAAGACAAGTATGATATTGTTAAATCACATATACATGGAATATTAATATCATTTACACACCAACAACGTTCTAAAAAACATTTCCAATCCATATTAAGATTTAGATTTACATCTCAAAATAGCCCACAAGGGCCACTGTAATAAGTAAATTTGTATCTTAACACCTGACAAGTACATGATGACTCAAGAATACACAACTAATTAATGAAGAGTAAGGCCTACGCAGGGGTCATTTTTAATAGAGGGAGGGATACTTGTTGGTTCCTACCTGACATGTTGTTTTGCACTTTTTATTATAATGTGTGATGACTTAATAATACAAGTGCTTTGGTGGAGCAGAGTTTCAAAGAACATACCTGACATACACTGCACATCTTTTCCGCTTCTGTAAGCATATGGGTCCGCAAGTTGGTCAATAGAGGCGGTCCAGTTTTCCTTACGCAGTGTGCTATCTCATCTTCTCTTAGTCCTGTGCTTACATTCCCGATTCTATCTCCAAGTTCCAGCAATTCCTGTGTGCATCAGAAAGTGGAATTATGAATTGCGAATGATAAAGTTTATGTTTTTACAAGGTAGATAGTATTTGCACCGGATAATATCATTAGAGCGAACTGATGACTTGCCTCATATGACATGTTATCGATGTCAAGCCTCAAATCTCGGTATCCATCCATTGAATCTGATCTTCCTCGCATCGTACTGTTTTGTAGCATCACAACCTAAAACCAAACATCAAAAGTTTAATACACACACATACCAAATGAGAATCACTCCTATTTAAAATGAGACAAAGAACTTTCTCGTGGCCATCATCATAGGAATGCTATCAATAAAGGTGTAATGATACCACTTTAAGTGAGCGCTTGATACCACTTTAAGAAAATAAGACGTATTAGTTAATAAAGATTAACAGCATAAAGAATTACATCAATGGCACCTTCATTGATAACAAATATAAGCCCTAGATTTAGGATCAAACACCACATTTTAAAGTTCATAGTTCTCACTTTAAGTGAGCGCTCTCATTTAGTCATTTGATATCAACCCTATATATATTTGCATGTATTTCTATATGAACCTGTTAGGATGAGTAATCCAAAATCTCGACTTAGTTATTTCAAATTTAGTCAGTTGGGACAAATTACTCAATACACCCTTATGATGGACAACACATTTTTTTTATAAGGGCACATACATTCACAAGCTGCTACCTTTTTTAAACCGTGCATTTTCATTATAGTTCTAATACCATATTGATTTTTGTTGGGGTATATCCTAAAAGATGGACCTGATGGGGCAACCAAAAGTTTTATATATTGGTTGTTATTTTCATATTTAGATGGTGGCTGACATATTATTCAAGAATACTACATGAGCTCTGTGTACCTGACTAAATGCTACATACTTTATTCTTCATTTCTATCTCTTTAAATTTGTTGAAGTAGTTACAGAAATGTGAAGAACGTTAGAACGTATAAACATAAGACAAACCTCTGCAAGTCCTTCAGGAGAGCCATATCGAGAATGGCGATGATTCCTACACACAAAATGATCCACATTACATCTAGACAATTCTAAGGCACTGTCCGCTTCAAGAAATGGATTGTCCTCTGGGATTACCATTCTCCTAACAGAATATCTAGATCTCTGCTGTAAAAGGAAAAGAGAAGAACAAGTTTATAAATCAGTTGAACTCCATGCCTAAGGCCCACTGGTTTCCAGAGGTTTAGTAGCACTTGCATTAAATGGAACTAAAAAATCACCAATAATCCAGAAAACGAGTCGCCTTATCTTCACCAAAGAGAGCTTATGAGCTAATCAAACCAGTGTTTTACAAGGTTCCATTTCTTGAAGAAATAAAAAGAATGCATAAAAAATCATACGTAGTACTAATTATCTACAAAGGACAATCATCCAAATGATAGAAATCCCAAGCATATAAGTTTGAATTTGTCGTATGTATTATCAAACTGGTCTCAAGTTCTGATCCCAAACTTCGTGCCTAACAAACATTTTCAATCCTTGTCAAACCCTAACAAATATGATAAATATGAGATTTAGAACACACAATTTTTCAATTTTTAGAGTCAACTATATGTGTTGAATCTGAAAAGTTTATAAGTTCATTCAAATTTGAAATGTGTCTATGAAATACAAGAAAACATATCAAAACTATGAATCAAATGTTTAAGAATTGTGATTGAATAATTGTGTTGTGGCTAGGGAATACGATGAAATAAAGCAAAATGACTCACTAAACAATGCGCTTCTTTGTTATGAAGCAAGAGTCAGTCCATGCAATTTTTGACGCGATTTTCATCACGGGTCATCTGGAAACGGTCTATCTGTGCTTTAGTACAGGGGTAAGGTTGCATGCATCCGACCCCTCCTTACCCCACCGTAGGTGGGAGCCTTTGCGGCACTGGGGTAATGTTGTTGTATCACATTTTGTTTGAGTATAAAGCTTGGTCAAAAGTAGCTACAAAATAGTCAATTTTGTTTGGACGTACAAAAAAACAGCTTTTATTAATACTTAGAGTTCCACCCTAGAAAAATATCAGCCCAATACCACATTGCACAATTGGTTCTAAACTTCTAATAACATATTAATACTTGTCTTCCTATACATTAATCGCTGTACTGAGTAAAATATTTACAAAATAACGAAATGAAAACAAAGAGTTAAAAAGTGATAATAAGCTAAGAAATTCAATTTCCCAAAATCAGCTAAAATTTCATGCACTGTTTTGAATTATAGTCTATCATCTCAAATATGTTGGCTTTTCAAAAGTAAGCTGAAATGACTCCTGAACAGCTCAAATGTCAATCCCCATTCCCCAAACATGATCTAACTACTTCTTTTTCATTTTACGAGTAAGGTCATTATTAGTAACTAATGACGGGGACAGTATCCAGATAGTTTGGTTTGTTACACACAAGTATTTGAAGCATGTATCGAAATTATAGGCTGCTAAAAAATTGACCAAAATTTTAAAAGGAAGTCGTATCTAGACATCTAGTTATAATACTACATTCATAACAAGTTATAGTTGAAGAGAAATTAATGCATTGAGTAATAGTTGAAGAGGCAAAGTAGTATCTAGACATCTAGTTATAATAGTTGAAGAGAAATTAATGCATTGTGTAAATAACCTCTCTTAATGGAACTCTTTGGCTGTCAACTCTCCCTCTTCCTGTAACGGGCGGCTTTCTTCTCCAAACAACAGAGGCAGCATCGGTAGAAAACCCAATTCCAGGACCACACCAAACATCAGGGCCAGGGACGCAGCTTGATGACAAAGCCGACGAGCTACTCCGGTCATCGACGGCGGGCACCGGAAATTTGGGGGACTTGCTCCTTTTACTCCTCGCCTTTTTCTTCTTCTTCTTGACTCTCTCGGAGTCCCAGTCGGCCGAGCTCCTAATCATGGCAGGAACCGACACATTCTGCGGGGCGTCGCACCCCATTCTCCTGAACGTTGCGAAGTTTTTCTTTTTGGGGGTGAGGGCAGTGGGCGTTGGGCTGATTGGGGAAAAGGGGGCGAGCAGAAGAGCAGAAATGGTGGGTTTGTAGCGCGTGGAATGCACGATTTCGGGTGTGGGATCTGGTTCAGCCGCAGCAATTGGACGGTTTTGGTTTCTTGCTCTTCTTGTGAGAGTTACACTAAAACTGCTTCTGTTCATGTTATTGCGCTCCGATGCTGTTGCGGAGGCGCGTGAATCCATCGCAGGCGCGGTGATTTTGATGCACGGCGGAGATGGATGAAGGAAAGCTACAGAAAGAGTCGAATCGGAAGGGGTAAGGGGGAAAGAATATGACGAAAGTCAAAATGACCGTCTAATCTAATAGGGAAACCCCCATTTTTGTTTGTATTCTTTGCATTAATTAATAAGTTAATGCAGATTCAGTTAATTAATGTTTCTAAACGAAATACTCCATCTTAATTTCAGGCTTTCAGCTTTGTTCGCAGGTTCTTTAAATAGAGAGAGTGAATAAGTTTGGTGTAACTCCTCACGTGAGCACAGTCACCGACGGATTCAGAGCTTTTGTTAAGGAGGAGCACTACAAAATGGATAGAAATGGGTTGGATCAGATCACATCGGATGTGAGAATGGTCTATTCTATCTTATGTAGACAATTTTTTTAAAGGAAAATAGTTTATTCAATATCGATTGAAAGGATGTGTACCTATGATTTATGGGTCTAGTTTTAACCTATTAAGACAATTTTGATCATAATATTTAGTTTTTTGAAAGAAATACATGACATGGATTACAACTTAGTCATCCTTGCACTATTTATAATTTTTGATATTATAAACAATCAAAGTTTAACATTTACAATTGAGACCGTGTTTAACCGTAAGCAATCATTCAATCATAATTGCATAGTCGTTTAAATGTCTTATAACAATCTCCATATACTCTTTGAAGGTATTATTACCTCATTTAATAGTTATACAGAGTATTTTTATCCAGACAGGTAGAGCACTATTTTTATCCGAAGTACTAATACGGAGTACTTAAGTTCGTGATCGGAAGCGGGGGACACTTGCCCCCCTAGGACCCCCTAGGTCCTCCACTGAGCTCAGTGTAATTCATACAAATATACGATAGTATTATATTTTTATATGGAAAAGGTAAAAGGTCCCGTTTGTATAACGATTGAGCAATCCACTACTCTTTTTGAACTACAAACCGCTGCTAAAAGCAGCGGGTTGGCATGAATCCACTGAAAAACAAACAACCCCTAAGTATACCTCTATGAATGTGAGAGAAAAGGGAGAATGCCCAAAATGGGAGTAAATGTAGGTTGGAATTTAAAATAGGATCACTATGTTTTTATTCTCGAAATAGAACTAACACGTCAGCAAAAATACTGTCATCTTGTAGGCGTGATTGTCAAATAGGTGCAGTACAGTGCATTTAACATGACGGTATTTATTATAATTAATGACAGTATTTTTCAATCATGACAGTATTTCCAATACATGGCAGTGCAACTCATACTTTGGGAAGAAAAACATTATAGTCCTATTTTAGAATTTCAAACCTTATTTACTCTTACTTAGGGCAATTTCCTGAGAATAAATATACACATGTTCTATTTTTTAGAACAAATATATCCTTGAATTATATGTCGAAGTGCATATACCATTGAACTTTTTAAAAAGTGAAAAACCTCCTCATGTTCTTATAAAGGAGAAACCTTATCCTTATTGACTTTTAATAGATAAAATAAATTTAAAAAAACACCAAAAATAAATTATAAATTCAAAATTAAAAAATAAAGATGCATTATTATGTTAAAATACTAACTCTTTAATCTTAAATTGCAAAATTATTATTTTTACGCTGTAAATGAAACACTTCACATTCATAAATATTAGTTTTAGTCTTGTTGAAAACTTTTGAACACATTGTTACATTTTTTGAAATAATGTGTAATTTTGAACTATTTATCATCATACAAAATATGTAATTTTATAGTGAAAATAATGCAAAAAATTAATATTTTTTACATTGCAATACATATGTTAACACTTTTCGAAAGTATCTAAAATATACTATATAGCTTTGAAATAATATTTTATACTAACAATATTAAATTGTGATATAATAACAATAAAAGGGAGAATTGGACACAAGTACATTTTTAATTTTTTTATTTTTTAATTTCGAATTTTTGATTTATTTTTGGTGTTTTTGAAATTTATTTTATCAATTTAAAGTCAATAAGGGTAAATTTGATTTTTTATAAGAACGTGAGCGTTATTTTTGTACCTTTTAAAAGTTCAGGTGTTATATGCACTTCCATGTATAATTGAGGATTATATTGGTTTCGAAAATTGAACATGAGTATATTTATTCTCACAATCATACTATAGGAGTATATTTGTACATTTTCCCTATTTTTCTATGAATGTTATTATATGTATAAAGGTAATATCTGACAGAGTATTTTAAGATGTAAATAAGTATGAATAATGTGCAAGGTTTTAATATAAGTAATTTATTTCCAATGTGATGTATTACAATATGAATATTTTAAAAATATGTTATTAACTTGTAACTGTACTATTAATTATTGATACAAAAGTTAAGAAACCGTTTGATAACACTTGAATTAGCTTAATCACATAAATCTCCTAAAATTGATGAAACTCTGGATGATTCGGCTAAATATGATCAATTTTATCAAAATTATATTTAAAATATAATTTATTAATAAAATAAAGAAAATATTATACTCCGTGTGAAGTATAGTTAAATAGTCATTTTTCAGTAATTTCAGGCAATTTGGCTAGAAAGTAACTTTTGGTTGTGCATTGAACTTCCATATAATAATTGAATGTTATGTTTTTTTTGTAGTGACTATTAGTCATATTTGTGTAAATAAGATTTATTTAGTAATATTTTTGAAAAAAATCCCGTAAATTGATTAATAGATAAAGTAAGAGATTTTGTTTCCAAAAACAAGATATATGAACAACTTCAAATCGTTCGGACAATCATGATTCTATCTTTGGATACACTACTACATTTTTTGCTCTAATGTAACATTAATTATGTAACATTTATATTAAACCGTTACATATTTGATCTATGGTAACATATTCTATTTTTTATAATCAAATGTTACAATCTTAGGCATAAATGTAACAGTTTTATGAATTATGTAACATTTGTTTAATATTGTAACACAATAATGTAACAGTTTTATATTTTGTTGGCGCAGGCATGATTGCCGCCACAATAAAAAAGAACCGCCAAAATTTTTAGCCTGCGTCTTTTTCCCGCACACGTACAAATTTTTATCCTTAGCATCCAAATTAATTAAAAAAAAACCCTGGTACCAAAAAACTTAAACCCTTTCTATTGTTTTCTTCCAATAGAAAGAACTTCTTTTGAAATGTATGTTCATTTTTTCTGCATTTCTTGTTCAAATCAGGAGTTTAGGGACTATAAATGGTCACTCTTAGGTTATGTTTGGCACACAAAATCCTCTAGCTTCTAGCTTCTCTATTATTTAAAAAGACCCTAAAAGACTCTAGTTGTGTGTTTGCCCAATAGCTTTTTTGAGAAGTCTAGGTCTTTTTTGAGATGCTACTGATGGAAGTGATAAAAAAGAAAAGACCTTTTCCCATTTCACATTTCCTCATAACCCTCTGCTTGCCAAGCCATTCTTCCACTTCTTCAGCCGAATTATTCCTTGCCTTTATCATCTTCATCTTCCTCGTAATTTTTTCTTCTTCTTTAAAGCAGTCTCTAGTTATGTTCAAGCTTCTCCCCCTAGTTGCCCCTTGTTCTCCATTAGGTCATATGTTCGTTGATTTTTTTTTAAATTTCTATTTATTAATTTATGACAAAAAATTTGTTATATTCAAACTCGATATATATATATATATATATATATATATATATATATATATATATATATATATATATTATCTTTTTGTGCATATTCTATTTAGAAATTGTACTCGGAATGTACTGATTCCTTATAAAAAATAGTGCAATTTGTTTATTAACAAATTCATAAATATAATAATAATTGGAGAATAAATTCATATTTAATCTTTATGCAGGTGAAGTTTCTTGTTACAACTACTACTTTACACAAACCCTAAACCCTAAAGTGTTACAATAGGTATAGTTCAACGCAAGCAAATGTAATGGCAAAAAACTGTTACCTTTTATGTAATGTAACATTTTTTAATGATATTGTAATACTTCTAGGTGATATATACAATATGGGCTGAAATGTAGTAGTGATATAGCCTCAATTTAATTGGAGGAACCTTATTCCCCTTTATAGAATGCTAATGGTACACCTTCAAGATATGCCTTTAGTGTTGGCCGTTCACAATAAATTATCACCCCTTTTGAATAACAAAATGCCACCAAAGTGGTAGCTTTGAGCATCTTTAAATCTTGCTTTGATCTTTCGTGGAAATACCTCAATCTTGAGTTGAATAGAACACTATTGTCCACCTAAATAGAACTTTCTTGTAAAGATGTGCTCGTGATTAAGCTTCTTGGTTCTTTCTTTTTAGATTTCAACATTCTCAATGCATGCAATTTAAAATTTCAGATTTACCCCATACTCCACTTTTTCCCAAACTTAGCCCACTTAATCGCTCTCCACACCACTTGTAACACCGTCCCCAAGTGTATTTACTTTTAAGTGAATATTGTATTTAACCTTATTGAATGGTTAACGAGTTTATGATGTTATGAATTTTTATTAATTCTTTTGCGGGAATAGTGAATTCGCACGAGGGGCACACACCGGGAGCGGGGACCGCCCGATATTCCCGGGACCATATATTTTATTCATCTTGATCTGTATAGTATTTATATGGCGGTGGATATCTCATTTGAGCAATGGAAAGGCCCAGAGTTGGCCGATTGGCCAAAAGAGGCCAAAATT